GGAAATGTAGGCTGGGAGAAGGTGAGTGAGAGAGTTGCGGGGGTGGGGAGGGAGGATTACTATATATTTGAGAGCGTCTGTTTGTGCAAGAAGTCTTCCTAAACCAGGGGTGGGCAAAGGGCCCTGTGCAGGCCAGATCCGGCCCACCAAGCCAGTGGATCGGGCCCTCAGCCGCCCTGCCGCTCTCCCACCGGGCCAATCAGGGCCTGCGGACAGGGGAGTGTGCACGTCTCTCTAGGCACCGTGTGCTCTTGCGAGGGCAAGGGATTTTGTGCGCTCCCCTGCCCCAGGCCCTGATTAGGAAGACTGGATAAGGGGTTTGAGCCCCACAGAAGGGTTCTGCCCCTTCTGCATCCACCAGAGCCCAGCCCACCCTTCCCTGTGGCTGCTGCTGGCCTCTGCCTACATACCTACCCCTCACAATGTAGCAGTTGGCTCCTGCCCTGCAGGTGCGGTGAGCCAGCAGCTGGTGGAGCCCCAGCCTGTCCCAACTCCAGAATGCTGGGAAGCATGGTCCCGCCCCCTCCAGACTACCCCAGCCTTTGTAGCACTGCAACAGAAGGCTGGGGTAGAAGGTCTGGGGGACTCCAGCGGAGGATAGACGGGGCCAGGTGAGGCAGTTTGAGAAGGCATTGCCTTCGATACCCAGTGCCCACGCTAAAACCCCGGATCTTCTTAAGTCACCTTTCACTAAACTGATCTAAAGCAGGTCATGTTTCGTGCAACCCCCGCTATATGGAAGACCATTCTGACTGAGCTTGGTTTTCAAGAGAGCATGCTCTAATTCAAACAGGAATTAATTCAAGAAAGGCCTATATGTCCTGTTACACCAGGAGCACAGATTCTTTTGGCTTTATAATCGGTGAAAGGTGGAAGATTTCAGCAGTTATTTTTACTGTCCCCTGCTGCAACACACTGAATTCTTGTACAGATCTGTGAAAGAAGAATCCGATGTCAGACCTTAGCTGTAAGGTGAAGTGGGCAAAAGGAAGGGCTGTGTGAATCCACCTGCTAAGTCCAGAATGGAATGGTGTGGACTGCTATGCTGGAGTAGATAACCTTAGGAGAAAGCAAATCACCTATCAACATGACACTGCTGGGGGCCAGATCCCCGAGGAGGATTTGACAGGGTTCAGACATTTTTTTCCTCCAGGATTTGCTCCCAGAGCGGAGCTCGATAACCAACTTGAAGCTTAACAATAACTGCACTATTATTTGCATAGCTGCAAATAAGCCTTTTTTTCTAGTTAATGGCAGCGTTTACAGCTCAGTAGCGAAGCATCTGAGTGCTGAGCAAGACAGAACACTGGCTGTTGAGACCTCAACAGGGTCAGGGAAAATAGTATTTTCATTAAGAGTGGGGGACTCAATTTGAAATAGGAACCTTTTGATCTGCAGTAAAGTTCAGTATTGTTAGGGAAAAAATGGTGACTCAGAGGCAGATGGAGTAAACAGGCTTCTTTATTGCGGATACTCATTCCGCCTCGAACCCCCAAAACCCTGGTCCAAGTGAGCAACAAATTAACCACGTGTACACCGTTTTATGACCTCTCACGCTCACAGGCCTTGGGGGAAAAGGCCAATTATCACCTACAGACAATCTCCTAATCTCAAACAAATTGGCTGTGTCTACACTGGGCCACTTATTCCGGAAAATCAGCCGCTTTTCCAGAATAAGCTGCGAGCTGTCTACACTGGCCCTTGAATTTCCGGAAAAGCAACGATGCTCTACTGTACAAAATCAGCCACTATTCCGGAAAAACTATTCTGCTCCCGCTCGGGCATAAGTCCTTATTCTGGAACACTGTTCTGGAAAAGGGCCAGTGTAGACAGCCCAGTAGTCTTTTCCGGAAAAAAGCTCTGATCGCGAAAATGGCGATCGGGGCTCTTTTCCAGAAAAGCGCGTCTACATTGGCCACAGACACTTTTCCGGAAAAAGGGCTTTTCCAGAAAAGCAGCCTGCCAATGTAGATGCTCCTTTTCCGGAAAAACTGAAAACGGAATAGTATTCCGTTTTAAGTAGTTCCGGAAATTCATGCCAGTGTAGACACAGCCACTATTTCCAGTAACCATGCAGCACACCTCCATCATATCATCCAGGAACCCACCCCTGCAATCAGCCGCAGTGCCAACTCTCTCCACACATCTACACAGGCGATTTCATCACTAGACCCAACCACATCAGCAGCTCATTTAACTGCACATCCACTAATATGATCTAGGCCATCAAATGCCAGCAATGTCCCGTTGCCATGTATATTGGCCAAACTGCACAGTCTCTGTGGGAAAGAATTAATGGACACAAATCAGATCTCTGAAAAGGCAACACACACAAACCCTGTTGGAGAACACCTTAACCTGCCCCGGGGGTAGGGCCTCTCATGTGCCGTGCGTCTGGGGGGCGGGGCTGCCCATGCGCCCAGGGCCGGGGCTGCCCATGCGCTGCGCGCCCGGGGCCGCCCATGTGCCCTGGGGCGGGGCCAGCCCAGATCATTCAGCAGGTGTATATATATATAGCGAGAGCGAGAGAGAGAGAGCTTTCATGAGTAAAACCCATTTCATCAGATGAGCTGGAGAGGAAATATTTGTTATTTCGTTTTTTAAAACTACAGACTAACAGGGCTACCCCTCCGAGACTTCACTACACTGGCAGCTCAAAATATAACTTGAGTGTAGCCTTAACTAGGGATGTGAATGGGTAACCGGTTAACCAGTTCCCCGGTAAGCATCACCCTTACCTGGTGATGCTTACTGGGTGTCAGTTAACTGGATTCCGTCCGTGACCTGCCACCGGCAGAGAGATGCTCCAGCCCTGTGTGG